GTTAGCCTGGAATCCCATCCGTGAACGCTGTGTCGCCGCTCCGTTTCTCCGCTCCTACGTACTGCAGGCTAAGCTTTCTGGGTTTCTAAGAGAAGAAGAACAGAGTGTTTGGTCCCACCTGTAGCCTCCCTTGTTGAACAAAATGTTTTACCGTTGTTTATTAGCCTCCTCCGCAGACATGTTGGTCGTCGGCGTTTTTTTCTGTGAGCGACACGAGTAATATGCCGCCGCGAGGGACGATTTTGCTGCCAAGGGAGCTTTTGCCGTGAAGAGAAGGTTTCGCGCTCGCTCAGAAGGAGGCTAGTTGTTTATTTATTTATTTATTGCTCTTAAAAACAGTTGGGTGGTACCTTCAGTCTCTGAAAGACTGATTTCCAAGGTAGCCCAACAGAACATACACATTGGACAACATGGAATACAATAAAATTAATCAAATGATCAATCATAGCAAAGGACAATAAATAATATAAACAGAGGGTACAAATAATCAATCATACAAACACAACGGAACAACCAAAACAAATAGTCAAAATCGTTAGGCATAGTCGTATTGTCAAATAATGACAGTCGGTTGTCCGTGAGGTCAGGGTCAGAGGTCGTATGCTCTTAGCGCTACTTTAAAAGCATTAATGTTGATGCATGTTTAGTTACCGTGTTAAGCGAGTTATAGGCTGAAGCTGCTCTGTACTTAAATGTTCTCTGTCCAGTTCTGTTTGTGTATTTGGGTTTACGCAGTAGATTTGCTTGTCTTGTGTTGTACTGATGTGTTTGGTGGTTGTAGCTGAAACAGTGTAGCAGGTAATCAGGTGCAAGTCCATGAAGACACTTGTAGACCATTGTGCAGGTATGGTGGGTCCTCCTTTCCTCTAGTGGTCTCCAACCCAGTGTCTGGTGCAGTTCGCTTACACTCGAGCGCAGTTCCCTTCTCAGGATTATCCTGGCAGCCCTGTTCTGGAGGAGTTGAAGTTGCTGTTTGGAGGTAGCATTGCAACTATCCCAAACCACATCACAATATTCAAGAATGGGTAAAAGTAAAGTTTTATGCAACAGACATGCAATAGCAGTGGTTAAGTACGGCCGTAAAACGTCTCAGCAGGCCGAGACGTTGGGCCACTTTGTTACAGGTAGTCTGAATGTGGTCATTGTAACTTAGGTTTGAGTCTGTTTATTACCTTCAACGTTAGTTACTTCACCTGGTATATCAAAAGTTACCCAGTTTTTAAATACCGTACTTATGCTCATTTGCACCTAAAAGATAAAGCTAAAAACTCTAGATCTTTTCAGAGAAAAAAAGCAAAAAGTCCATTTTGCAACCTTCGTTACCGGTAAGGAGGTTACACCTTGTAGCGGAAAAGACAAGGGATCAAATTTCATTTCCCTGTGCACCATAAACAGAAACAAATGAAGTAAAGTGGAAAACGTATGCATCGAAAGGAACATAATCCTCAATTTCCTCATCAGACTCAAATGTTCTTCCCTTCTTTGAGATTTTGCTACCAAAGTTAACTACACTTAGCTATCTTCATGTGTTCGATACGTGTGTATGTGCCAGTATATGTTTTACAAAAGTACTTCCATAGGTACTGATGCCTAAACTAATGGCTTTTGAGCTGATGTTATGAATACATGCTTTATCATACACTCGGTTCATTCTGATGTTCCAGTGTTTTTACTGCACAAAAATTGCATTGTTTAGATATAGCGTGTCAAAGTTCATAAATTGTCACACATTGGCAGACAGACAGACATACACACACACATGCACAGACACACACACAACACACACAAACTCACACACAATCACACACAGAGACAGACACACACACACACACACACAGACACACACGCACAGACACACAGACACACACACACAGACACACACGAACACGACACGCACACACACACACACACACACACACAAAGAGAGAGAGAGAGAGAGAGAAAGAGAGAGTGAGACAGACACACAGACACCCACACTCATAGACAGACAGACAGACACACACGCACAGACACACACACACTCACACACACACACACACACACACACACACACACACACACACACACACACACACACAACCACACACACACAGACACAGACACACACACACACACAACCACACACACAAACACTCAGCCTCCCACCCTATGTCCAAATTGGAACCTTCCAATTTAAGTGACTATTAATCAGCCTGTCATCGTTGGCCACATCTTGTTTGTCTGCGCGGCCTGCGCTTACCGTCGCCATTTCATTCGCATCTGTGTGCAGCGCAGCATCACCACCACGCACACGTTACCTCGCTCGCCGCTTACCGTCGCCTTTTCATTCGCATCTGTGTGCAGTGCAGCCTGCCATCACATACACGTTACCTCGCTCGCCACTTCCCGATCAGTGCTCGTGGACGATCTTATCAGGAGTGACCTGCCTGTGTAAAAACTTCAACTATGTCCAGGTATGTACTTTATAATTATAGAATGTAGAAACCACCAGTCTCCGTCCAACGGAAAGGGGTAACTTCCTTCGCAGACTTGTAGGGCGGCAACGTTATTTTTTTATACCGTCTGTGCACCCATCAAAAGATTAGCTGGGTTTTGCCGCCCAGGGACTTGTGTATGGCATGCAGGGGACTATGCCGGGGAGAGAGGGTTTCGTCGGGTTAAAAACAGTCTCTCCCCGGCAAAGTTCCTCGGTGTCAAACCCGTCCCTCTGCGGCATAACTCGCGTCGCTGCCCGAATGGGGGCAATAGGTTCAACCCCCCCCTTTTCTTAAATGGAGGGACCACGTGTGACAGTTTGTATTCCAAAGTCGAAAAACGTACTTCTACACTGTATTGAAACCAACCTACCTACCTACATACCTACATAGTCCCATGACCGACACTGCTATTGAAACCAAAACTTTGTAAAACAGTTTTTAAATTGCGCCGTGAAATACCCAGAAAGCACCATTGAAATCCCTTTCCAATTTTGATAGGGCACAGGAGGAAGTGAAGCGGGATTTGGAGACCCTACAGGCGGTGATAACCGACATCTTCAAGTGTGGAGTTTGGTAAGTACATGTATCTGATTGTTAACATACAAATAGGTTAAGTGGCACTAGTAGTGGTCTCCAAGAAGCCCTTTTAACTTTTTGGAACTGCAAAACACTTGAACTATGGAGGCACCGCATCTGGAGAAATGAGTGACACTAGCCTGGACGCCAGACCCACAGCACACTAGCTAGGCTGTGATAACTTTGAGCCTAAAGTGCTGTGGGTCTTAGCCTGGGTACCATCCTACTTGTATGCCGGGGCTCCCACAGTGAGTGTGGGAGCCACGGCATACAAGTGGGGTGGTACCCAGGCTAGTGGGTCTGGCGTCTAGGCGTCACGACCGCCCGTCCAGTTCATTAAAGCACGATGCGCTTTTTTTAATAACGATAAAGAAGTGACCCCCCCCCCTCAGAAAGACAGAGTGTCAGGAAAGGAAGTAGTTTGTAGGTATTAAATATCAATAATAGGTTGACCTGCCGAGATAATTGTCAGTGTGTCTCATACCCCGTATTGATTGCAGCTTTGGCATGCTGAGAGAGACGGTGATGTGCCCGTCCGGACACCCCTTCTGCAAGCCATGCCTGGAGAGATGGCTGGGGGGACATAGTACATGTCCGGCGTGCCGCCGAGGGATGCGCGCAGCCAACATGGTGCCGGGCAGGTTCATTGACGACTTTCTGTCCGAGGCACTGGTGCGGTGCCCAAATGGAGGTAAATACTAAAAAATACAAAATATTATCTCGTAATGTCGCAGCGAAGATAAATGTGAAACAAGGAGGGAGCATGAGTCGATATTGGACTTGACATATGCGTGATCCATATTTTGAAGATGACCAATGTAATGCTGAGGTCACATTTCCAAACCGGGGCCCGGCCGGGCAGTCTTATAGAACGAAAAGTATGATATAAAAGACAACAAAGCACAAAAAAAGTTGCAATAATTAATAATGGGAACCATTTGCGTATATTCTTGACATAAATGGTTAATTTTTCGTTAATCGTAACAGTCCGACCAGGCCCCGCCTTGGAAATATGACCTCAGCATAATAAGCAGAAATACGGTTCAGTGACAAAAGTCCACGTTTAGCGAAGCGAATGTTAGCGTATGGGTGATAACACCTTCGGCAAGGGAAGCCATAAGCCCCGCCATACGCCCTGCCATACGCCCCGCCAACCCCGACATGGCTCTAATTATCTCTTCGCGTCCGGGTCTGCATTTCTACTCTCCTTTTTGCCAAATTCTACGATCCGCATTCCCGTAGAAAGGCCTGGTGGAGGCTACATCCAGGCTAGGGACCGTGGTCAGTCTGATAGAGACTAGCCTGGATACCAGACTCATAGCAGCCCTATGCTATGGGTCTGACTAGAGGTTAAACTCCAAGCAGATCTTTTGGTGGTCACAGGGCAGTATCCATCTTATATTTTGATGTTTCCGTCATATACAGGTACATGTACGTCGAAGTGCACATGGCAGGGCCCGCATAGCCGCCTAAAAGATCATGATTCAGTCTGTGACAAGAAGAAGGTGAAGATATCTTTCCATTTTCTTTGCAACACTGCTAAAAGGTACATCACACATATTGACTTACAGCGGCGACTAAAAGCACTGAAATGAATAATAGATTTTAAAAGACTTGGGTTATTACACATACACACAACTCTATGAGGCGTGTGTTTGTCCCATCCTTGATTATGCAGCTGGTGTCTGGGGATACAAAACAACTGACAAGTGTTCAGTGGTGCAGAACAGAGCAATTAGATGCTTTTTAGGGGTGCACAGATTTGTACCTGTTCTTGCTACAACAGGGGACATGGGCTGGGCGCCCTGTGAAATAAGACAGCAGGGGTCTGTAATCGCTTTATGGAATAGACTAATCAATATGTCAAATGATAGAATTACAAAACAAGTATTCTTATGGGACTTTCAAAACCATGGCCCCTGGAGTAGAAATGTTCAGGATATTTTCTGTAAAGTTGAGCAAGAACATGTTTATCTTAACACACTGAGGGGTGACATTAGGCAAATTAAAGGGAAGCTTTTTGACTTATACAAGCAAGACTGGGCAACCAAAGTACTTTTGAAACCTAAACTTAGAACATATGCTCTGTTTAAAGATACTTAGTTACTGTATAGAAAAATATGTAACTATGTTTCTCCCCAAACGCCAAAGATCACTGTGTGCGCAGCTGCGAGCTGGTATTTTACCTATCAATATTGAAACTGGACGGTACCAGGGAACTCCTGAGGAAATAGAATCCGTACCATGTGTGACCTGGATGAAGTAGAAAACGAAACACATTTCCTTTTTTACTGTCCCTTTTATGACGATCTTCGAGAAAATATGTTTCGTAAAATTTATACAAAATCACCTGACATCATATGGGAGAGTGATGAAAATAGAATTAAGTGGCTCTTTAGCGAGGGTGTATCTGACCTAGCAACTTTCATTTATCGAGCGTGGGGGAAAAGAAGAAAATACCTGTATTCATAACACATCAACGGTTGTCACTTTTTTTTGTTACTCCTGCACGTTTGATTTCTCTTATTATGTTTGATTTACCTTATTTACTTGTATCTATTTTGTGAGATCTTGGTTCATTATGTACAGATTTGCTTATTTGCATTTACGAGCTGTTTTGAGTTCACTTATTTGTTTACCATCACTGTATATAGCCTACCTTTATTTATGTTCATATTTTGTTTGGATTCTGTTATCTGTACCTTTGATTCTCTTTTGTTTATGTATAATTTATTGAATCGGTGTCGTATAAGCCCACACGGGCTGGGCGCGGGATAGCGCACGACACGGAAATAAAGTCTCATTCATTCATTCATTTATTCATTCATTCATTCATTCATATAACACAGCCTACAAATTAAAGGTAACAATGCTAGTTGATATCAAGGCTATTTTGTATGACGTGTAATGCACAGAAAGGAAAGAATATAGGCATTTAATTCTATCCGTGTATTGTATTTGTTTGAAATCATGCTTCTGTTCGTGTTCAGGTAAAGCTCGCCAATACCTCATATTGTTATCTGAACATTGGTTTTTAAATACATTTTACATAGATAAAGTGTGTAGCATGCGAAGAGACCCACTTGAGGAAGGACATGGCACAACACATGGACATCTGCGGGGAAGTAGACATAGAGTGCAGAGACTGTGGAAACACAACAAAGAGAAGCGGACTAGAGGACCATGTAGACAACAGGTGCCCTAAAAGAAGAATCCAATGTCCCCTCCTTTGTGGAAGGGAATGTACAAGGTGAACGTTTGACTCATGATTTCATGATGTAAAACACTTAATGTTAAACCCACTATGTGCGCTCCGATATCCCCCATTACCAAAGAGAAGACATCGAGCGTGAAGACTATGTCACAATAATGTTCTGTCATAAAATGGACGTCGAAATCGGAAGGTGTAGTAAGATTGCGTAATCATCTATCACACCTGAATTCCGTCTCTTCGTTGTGATCTTCCCATCGAATGACACCTCTCACGACTGAATCAGCATTTTACACAAGACAATTCGTTACGGAAAAATCAAAAGTATCCTTTATTTACGGTTTTGTGGCAAGTATGAACAGTCCAGTTGAAGACTTCAATGCGTTTAAAAATGAAATGCTCATCTCGTTTAGGAGACAAATGGGACACCACATCCTGACAGAATGCAGGAGAAGGTGGGAGGAATGCCACATACCCGGCTGTGGCGCCGTCACCCAGGACCAACTGGAGCACGAGAGGCAGGAGGTCACCACCCACAATTTCCTGCTGCGTCAGGTGAAGTTGGTTCAAAAATATCACTTTGACTTGGTTCCTCATTGTTTCCGTTGCTATGATATATCATCTTAGTAATCCAATTCTTTTGTCAATATATTGGTGTTTTTTAATATAACAAATACAACTAATAACATTACGAACAACAATGAAGCCTGAAAATGCACTTAGTGTTCATTCGTGCTAACTTAAGTACCAATTACGATTACAGACAAGGTGAATGCTGATTGCAAGTCTGAATGAAGTTGTTTTACCTACTATTTGGCCGGATCAGCTCAAATCCGGGACTGCTCAAATAGTGGTCAAATCACAAAGTAACTAAGCTCAAGTTGTGCTGCTATTCCAGGTCGGGGCACGTGGCGATGGGGAGCACATGGTGCATGGCCCCCTGCACAGCTTGCAGTGGGCGGTTGCCGACCCAACACGACCCGTGAGGTCACCTACCTTCATCACCAGTGGGAACCGTACGTGGGAGGCCATGGCGGTCCCACCCAGCAGAGGCGTGCCCTGGTGTGTGTGCCTCCGACTGGTAGCAGGACCACCTGCGCTGGCAAAAATCAGGTCAGTATATAAACGTTACACATAGAATACAACTGGAATACACCATGTTGTATTTCATTTATGTCATACCCACCTAGCTTGGTTACCAACCTATTATAGCTCCCGAGTACTCTATAGGATGTAGGACTCGGGAGCTATAATAGGTTTGGTAACCAGGCTAATACCCAACCAAGGAAACACGCCTTTCGATGTAAAATGAGCCGAATTCTACATGTACTAAGCCGAAATTTATACCCTAAACTAAAAACAAACGGGAGTTATTGTTTCTGTTCAAAATCTTTCCATATTAAAATCATATGTCTTCCCCCACAGGATCAAAATGTCGGCTGCCGAACAGGAAGCAGTTGTAGGCTGCACAGCTGCCATACTGCCAGGTGCCAGTGGGAAGAAGTGGGACTTGCAAAACATAACGAACACAAGCAACATCCGTATCCACATTCTTATTCAACACTAAACCCACGCAACAAAAGTACAGCGACTTTCGTATGGTCTAAAACTACATGTAGATATACAGACAAATATACATGGGTACAATGAAATTAACATACGTACAAAACAGTAGATGAGAGTCAACTAATACTACTTGTTCTAAGGTCTAAACCTTCTTTGATATATTTACCTAATTCTATATTCAATTTATGGCTAGAAATTCTCATCTTTGTAATCGATCTACGAAGTTCAAAATTGTGTATTTCAGAAAGGTAATTTTCTTGTCCGTACCTCTTTCTTAACATCGAATAGACAGAAAGTTTTGAATTGTTTTGAATAGAAGTATGATATTCTTGTATGTAAATATCCCGTAAACGACGTCGTAATTGATCTGTTAACATGTCAACGTGACACAACCTGGCGTTTGTCCATACATATCCAAAACCGTTCTAATTGAGAATGTCGTGTACATGATTTACCCACTCAGAGTCAGCGGAATGTAAAATGTTGATTGCCTCGTGGAGTAGAGCGTCTTCGGGTAGATTTTCTAAACGGTGCCAGTATTTTATAAGTTTTAATTTGGCATCAATCATGACGGGAAGTATTCCCAATTCGCCGCGAATGCCGTCATTTGATGATTTGGAATTCACACCTAGTAGAACTTTCTGGAAATTCATGTCAACAATATCAAATTCTGTGATTTGTTGAGGAAGATGCACATTTCCAATTGCAAAGTTGTCTTTTTCTAATTTACATGTAAGGCCAGACGTAATTTATCCTTGTCAGACTTTTTCTTAAAATGAATCACGTAAGAGTGAGTGGAGTCAGAACTCACACTCTTTCTTATAGTTGCAGGTAGACAGTCATTCAAGTCAAGTTGATTCAGAAGTATAGATAAGACATTTTTAGGCCAAGATTCTGGAATTCTTTTGGATACAATGACTAATTGAATAAGCTTTTGCCTAAAGGAATTGGGATATTTTTTCAGAGAATAGAAGTGATTTAAGCTTAAAGTGCTCTCATATAGCTTTCGTCTTTAAAAATTTTCTAGCTGTTTTAAATTTGCCCGAAGACCTCAGTGGTACGCCAAGAAAGTATAGCTGTCAGTTACTTCTGTTTCTCTACCTTGTATATAGAATTTGTTACATAATTAGCACTTTCGTTTTAAATTCACACTCAATTTCCAGTTGTTACAATACGCTTCTAATTTATTAATACAGTTCTGAAGCCCCTTTTCAGACAAAGAAATTAGAGCAAGGTATCTGCCAAAGACAAGCAGTTAGGCGATTTGTAACTTAAAGAAGCAGCGTCACATTCATTATAATCAAAACATTGATAAACAGATTGAATAACAATGGGGTGATATTACAACCGCGTCTTACGCCGTTTACATTGTTTGATAAGTCTTTTATAGTCTCTCAATGCCGAAAAATACTTAGTTCTAGATTCTTGTAACCAAGGTTCTTTCTTTAGATCTTTAGATTTTTTTAATCGCTGACGTAAAGACCAACAATGTTGGTCGAACCACCGTTTGCTCTTTTTTACTTGTGTTGTTTTCTTGTTTTGTCTTTTACCTGTACGCTTTATCCTTAGGGACTAATTTGCTACATCTAATAAAATTTCCGTATAATTTGTTACGGCCTCTTCCTTTCTCTAGTATCTTGATTAAGAATTTTTATTCAACGTAGTCAAAATACTAAAAGTATTACTGAAATATACTCTGTTTCTGTGTATGTCATGATATCCCAGTGCAAATTGAGCGTATCTTCTGTGTCTTCCTTTAATATAGGCTGTTTGATTGTGATTGGTTGATGTTGACAGAAAAGGCTTCAATCTGTTCGCCGATTATCAATGCTGTTGTTTTCCCCGCCCTTGTGCAATACTTTAAGGATAGCCATTCTTAGATATATATAGCCCCCACCCCCTTTTTACGCCTTCGCTATTTAAGTTATCCGAGTTAACTACCAATTGTCCCAAAACGCCAAAACGCCAAATATAACTCAAATGGTTATCTGTCATCTGTAAAAGAACAGAACAAACATAACACCAACAAAAACGAAACCCCCTCTCAGTCCAAAAGAAGCGCTTCCGCCCAGGGAAGGTAGGGGGCGCAATTGAGTGGATACAACTACTGAGTGTGGGAGGCGTGGCATACCAGTGGAGGCGTGGTTTATTTGCATATCTACGTCGGGTACTAATTAGGTCTGCAGACGACATCGAAAATATTCGACGTCGAAAATCGTCGATGCACGCAACGAAACGAAACGTCGAAACTGCCGATGCAAACATCGACGAAACATACATCGAAACACACATCGAAAACATCGAAACACACATCGAAAACATCGAAAATGTCCGTCGTTGTACGTCGGGATTTTTCGACGTCGAAAACATCGAAAAGTAGGTTCGATAAATAACAAATTTTTCGGAACAAAAATCGGTAAGGAAAGGCCGTAAAGTTCAATAACTCCCGAATGGAATTTCTGTCCAAACAGTTCAGGCAGGACGGTGTCCCTTCCTCTATGTGACGGGCTTATCTCTCTGCCCGAGGGCGAGTAACTATACGAACAGTCCTCGCCGTCGTGTGCTTTCCTTCTAAACTCGTCGGTTCTTTTCCTAGGAGACGACGGGAGAAGTCTACCGTATGGACCATGAGGAGAAAGCGACGCGGTGTTTCCGCCTACCAAGTCGTAGGTATTCACAACACTCAGACCCGTATCACTTTCCACCGGGCGCGCCGGTTGACTACGTACGGCCGACCCCCTACTGTCCGCGCCAGATAACAGACTCACCGGCACTTCCACCTGTCCGAGGGGCCGGACGGGGCGTTACCGCCAGGTGCGGGGAGGGACTCAGGCGAAGTCTTCTCGTCTTCTCTCCGCCCGGAGTCTGCTTC